CACCCACCCCATCGCCACCCCCAGTTCGCTCTTCTTTAAAAGCAAAAGAAAAACTCCTTCATTGGTATATAATTTCCCCGCCCCTACCCACACCCCGAGTATACTCCACTACGCAACCCTCATTCCGAACTCTTATAATAATCATAATGCCCTAAAATATATTACTTTTAAACTGTTCTCTCCCTCATCAGCTTCAGTGCAGTAAACATAATTTATCCAGTTTTTCTCAGTCTTACCCCCACCCTGATGTCAACGTCCTTCTACAACAGTGGCACCATACAAGTATTTGTCTAAAGGTATTCTGAATAGTGCAGGAAAAATAGAACTCTTAAATAATTTCTATGGGTGTCTAGCAGATGTGAAAGGTTAGCTTGGCATTGTAATGGCAGCATTGGCACTAGTTAGAGCTTTGTGTAGTAGAAAAAAAGGTATTTTCAAAATGTCAACTACAGAGAAAGGAAGAAAAGGATTAATAGAGAACCACGATTAGGCTCTTTCTAATTCAATTAGACCTTTACATTTTCTATGTGAAGTAGCTTTCCACTGGCAGGCTTCCTTTGGCGTGTTTTGGTGATATCCCTAAAAGCATTATTTTAAACACAGACAGCTGAAGAAATAGTGCTATTTATGAAAAAAAGAAATGTAGACTTAGAAGTGAAGGAAATGCCCCCCTAAATGGGATGTATTTTAATACAATTTATTTGAATAAACCTACTCCTTATGTACTGTTTCGTTATTTAATATTTCATGTGTGCTAGAAACTAAAATAATATAGTATTCTGAAGGGAGCTCTGCTGGCCTAGTGGTAAGGAGCTGTACTGCCAGTCTGAAGGGCTAAGGTTCAAGGCTTCCAGCTGCGTGGTGAGAAGTAGAGGAGTGGTCCCGTGCAGTGGGATTGAAAGCCCCGAGAAACCCACTGGAGGAGCGTGTTCAGGCTCAGCAGCACACAACAACAAGAGAGCAAAAATCTGCTGACTAGTGACATACAGACGGTAGTCACGGATGCGGAGGTGTGAGATTAAAGTACTGTTGGCTGGAACAGGTAAGGTCAGGGGTTAGCTTGGCGGGCCGTGATTCCCAGTGATTCGGCAGTTAGGTGGTGATGCGGTCACCTTCAATTTTGTGATCTCCTGTGGATTTCTTTCACCTTTGCATAATGCCAGGTTTGTATAATGGTATCATATAGGTAGAAGGACTTCAGGCCTTTTGTTCATAGGGTTGCTATGAGTCGTGCTTGACTCACAGCAATCAACAAACAACAACATTTTCTTTGAAACTTACCTGTGTTGGTAAACAAGGAGTTGGATGCGTTATTTTGTTGTTGTTATGTGCTGTCGAGTCTTCCTGTGACTCAGAGACCCTATGTACAACAGTCCTGAACCCTGCTCTATCCTGGGCCAATCTCACTCTCTCTGACACACCTACCCCTGCTACCCTACTCACTGAATCAATCTACGTCATTCAGGGTCTTCCTCTCTTGCACTGTCCCTCCACCCTCCTAAGCATGACGTCCCACTTTAAGGACTGGTCCCTCACTGCAACATGTCCAAAGTATGTCACATGGAGCTTCAGAATCCTTGTCTCCAAGGAGCAGTGTGGCTTCACCCTCTCCAGGATGAACTTGTTTGTTTTCCGAGCAGTCCATGGCATATTCAATACTTCAACACCACAGCTCAAAGGCATCAATTATCCTTCTGTCATCCCTAGTCATTGTCCAGCTCTCTGATGCATAGCAAGTAATTGCAAAGACCATGGCCTGTATTAAGCACATCTTAGTCTCCAGACTAACATCATTGCTCTTCAGTACTTTGGAGAGATTTCCTACAGCCAACGTTCCCAGTGCAATTCTTCTTTTGATTTCCTGGCTGCTGTTACCAAGAGTATTGATTGTGGAGCCAAGCAAACTGAAACTGTCAACAATCTCAATCTCTTCACCATCTTTCATGATGTTGCTAATGGGACCAGTGGTGAAAATCTTTGTTTTCCTGATGTTGAACTTCAGTCCATATTTAAGGCTTCAAGCATTCCAGATCCTCCTGAGTTTCAGTAAGCAGGGTTGTTTCATCTGCATAACACAACTCCAATCCTGATGCCACATTTCTCCTCATAGAGCTCAACCTCCTGGATAATCAGTCCTATGTATAGATTGAAAAGGTATGGGGATAGGACACACATCCCTGGTGTACACCCATGTGAGGGTTTTTTTTTAAAAAAATTTCATTATTTTTTGTGTGTACCGTCAAATCAGATCTGACTGGTACAGGAGGATATTGTTCCTCCTTCCCCGGCAGAGCATCTGGTGGATTTGAACTGTGCACCTCTGAGCTTGCAGTTGCAGTTTCTTGCCACTAGGCCACTAGAGCTCGCCCCATGTGAGTTTTTAACCATGCCGTGTTTGCTTGCTCTGTTCTGATGACTGCCTCCTGGTCCAAGTATAGGCTTCGCATAAGCATGATCAAGTGTTCTGGGATTCCCATTCTTCTCAGAGTCAGCCACAGTTTGTTGTGATCCACACAGTCAGATGCCTTTGCATAATCAATGAAACACAGATAGACTCTCTGCTTTCAGCCAAGATCCATCTAACATTAACAATTGTATCCTTAGCACCACGGCCTCTTCTAAACCCTGCCTGCATGTACTTCAAGCAGTTCTTTCTTTATGTGCTGTTCAGTCATTTTGGGATAATCTTCAGTAGAATTTTGCTTGCATGTGATATCAGTGATATTGTTTGATAATTTCCACACTCTGTTGGATCACCTACCTGTCTTTGGAGTGGAATCAAACATAGACCTCTTCCAGTCAGTAGGCCAAGTGGTTGTCCTCCAGATTTCTTGGCACAGTTTGGTGAACACATCCAGGCAGCGTCTGTTTGTTGAAATATGTCAATTGATATGTCGTCAATTCCTGGGGTCTCGTTTTTTGCCAATTCATTCAGAACAACTTACTCTTCCTTCATCACCACAATCTCTTGCTCTTATGTTGTTTCATGAAATTCTTCTGTGTCTGCCAATTCCTTTTGGTACAATGACTCTATACTCCTTCTGTCTTCTTTTAATGCTTCCTGCATAATTTAATATTTTGCCCACAGCATCCTTAAGTATTACAACTTGAAGCTTGAATTTGCTTTTCTGTTCCTTAAGAAATGTTGAGCAAATTTGGCCTGTTTGATTTTCTGACTCCAGCTCTTTTCACATTTTATTATAATACTTTACGTTTCTTGCCGTGCTGCTCTCAGAAATCTTCTGTTCAGCTCCTGAATATCTTTATGTCTTCCCTTTGCTTTGGCTTCTCTACGCTCTAGTGCAATACTCCCAGTTTCTTCTGACATCCATCTTGGTTTATTCTTCCTCCTCTGTCTTTGCAATGACCTCTTCTTGTATTCTTCCTGGATGATATTCTTGATATCCTCCCATAACTCATCTGGTCTTTGCTCATTAGTGTTCAGGGCTTCAAACCTGTTCCTGAGATGGTTTTGAAATTCAGGCAGGATAGACTCAAGGTCAAATTTTGGTTCCCCTGGATATGATTTTCTTCACATTCAGCTTGAACTTGCATGTGAGTAGTTGGCAGTCTGTTCCACAATCAGCACCTGGCCTAGTTTTCACAGCTAATACCGAGTTACTCCAGCAGTTCTTTCCACACATGTAATTGATCTAACCTATGCATACTAACAGGTGAAAACTATGTTATAATATGCATTTGTGTTTTTTTCTAAAACATTTGCAGTGAATAAGTCATTGTGCAAAATTCTAACATTCTGTCTCCAGCTTCTTATCTGTCATTAAGTCCATGGTTTCCAACTACGATCCTTCTTATATTCCCAAACTTTGCATTCCAGTTGCATCACAGTAAAATTTTAATTTTATTGTTAAAGAGATTTAT